TTTCACCACATTTTATTTAAACTTTCCAAATGAACCTATCATCAGTCTAAAGCTACTGTCCAGAGACTCACAGTGTAAGCACCAAATCAAATTACCTGTCACCAGAAGAGAAAATTGATAGCAAATTGTAAACATTCAATTAACAGTATGATGCTTGCACAATTCATCCCATCTCTCAATGGCCACAGTCAGTTCACCTAATGTTTATTTTCTTGTCAGTAACTCCCATGCATCTTGGAGTATAGTTCTCCAACAGCCCACAACTTATCTACCTTCCTTCCTACACACACAGCTTCCTGGTATCCAAACATCACTATGATAAGAGTGAATCATATTGGTACCTACTGTTATTCTCTAAGCTTAGCAATGGAATGTGGGTGTCTCAGTAGTAACTGTAGAACCATTTGTGCCAACAACCTTTCACAGCTGATTCACAGGATTTAAGATCACATGCAACTCTAACAGGTTTGTTCCTTATCCTTGAACCCTTTTCCATCTCTCTGTCCAAGGCACTGCTGATCACATTTTCATCTCATCTAACCCTCATATGTATTTATCCATTTTTATGAGCTACAAAAACCTCAGCACTAATAAAATATAGTACAGCAGACCATCAACATTAAGGTTGAAATTCTAAAATGTTAGATATATAAATGTAAAAAAGGTTATCAAGAAAAATCCACTAAATCAACACAGCACCTGCCAATCACTCCAAATGCTTCTATAAGAGCAGTATGTTCTGCCCTGAAGCTTAAATGCTTCTATTCTAGTCTGGAATAACCAGACTTCCACCAGGAAGAAATTCTACAGCTGGAGTGCAGCCAGTGAAGGGGTACTAGCACATACGGTTGACCTACTGGCCACACTCATTATAGGTACCACAAACAGAACCTACACAGTCTTTAAAACATGAGTTGGTCAGTACTGTGAAAAGTGACTAAATACGGAACCATTTGCACAGTAACACTACTGTTCTGAATCAGGGCTAGCAGCTCCCTTGTAGCTGATACAGAGTTCAAAACTGATGTAACATGCTCATCCCTCACTACCTCCTGTCAACACACAGGCAGTAACATTCTGACCCGCTGCAAAACCCTGAGCATCTTCAAAGGAACTCCCTTGCAGAAAGGCTGCAACAATTTATATATAATAATAATCACTTTAATTACATGACGTCAAGTTGTTACCAGAAGGTTTTCTAGATATATAAAAGTACCAGAGCTGGCTAAGCAGTACCTCCTTTTGATGGTGCTCTGGGACTTTTCAAATCCACACAAGTGGCCGGGTATGTAATCGAATTAAAAACAGGCACTCTGCATGACCTCAACCAGCCCCTCTCCCAGGAGGCATAGTGAGGGTTCAAACTTCCATTGCTAGGCTCTGCAACCACTGCTGCTAGCTAGTGTTACATCAGTTCCCTTGTATATAGAAACAAACACTGAGTGTGTATATGTACATGTATTTGTTTGTTACATACACACAGAAACACACATAAGACTCTCTTCGTTCAAGATGCACTTATACATTTTCTAAAACCAAGTCACTTCTTTCCTCCCCCCCCCACACACACACTGCCACCACCCCAGATTCCTATGTCCAGGCTTCTCTCAACAAACATGCCTGATCAAAAAACCCTCAGCTGACTATCCTCTCAAAGTGTTCCCTCTATTGCTCTCTTCCGGGTCAGATTAACCCCCTCATCTGTTGCTTTTCTCCTACCTATGTCCCCCCTCCTCTCCATAACCCTCTTTCAGGCAACTATACTGTAATGTCTTACCTTCCACGTGAGAATAGGAAATCCTCATGTACAGCTCCTTAATCTTAATTATCTTTGCAAAACATAACTAAGCTATAAATTAACAGCTATAAATACTCAACTATCCAACAAACAGCAACAGAGCATGGACAGAGTTCCTACTCCAGTCCTCTGAAGATGCCAGCCACAGAGACTGGCGAAACGTCAGGAAGAACAACCTTCAGAACACAGCCAAAGAGCCCGAAAAACCTACAACAACCGTCAGATCCCGGCCGTGAAAGCATTTGAGAATACATATCTTTGCAAAACTTCTGCTCTCTTGATCTGCTTCCCCTTCTCATTACAATCATCCCTCCTCTTACTCTGCTTCCCTTCTGTAACCCTTTGTCCTTCTCACCTGGCTCTGTCACCTCTGGAGAAAAGTGATGTCCTCAAGTAGCTTCCCAAATCCCTTTCTTCTTTCATACTCCATCCCGAGGGATGTGTATCTTCCCCTCAACACTCACACCCTTTCAGGTTTGATTTAATGGGACTTTCTCCCACCACAAGCAATGAAAAGGATCTTACATCTCATTTCCCCCACACACACACACCCCATGTCACTTCTCCCTTCCTCTACTCTCCCCACATAGGGTAGGGTGTCCTGTCCTCACCTGGGCAACTGACCATTTCTTACCCCGCTTGGCTTCCCCACCCCACTATTAGTGTCCCACCTCTCATATCCTTCTCCTCTTAAGTTGCTACCAACACCCATGCCGCCTAGAGTGGTCAAAATGACTAGATAGGCGGGGTATAAATACAATAAACAAACAAACAAACAAACTCAGCCCTCCTGAGAGAGTGTTTAGGGTGGCAGTGCACTCCTATGAAATGCTCTCCTCTTCCCAGGTCCGACATGCTTGGAAAAGCCTTCCTGCTCACACGCATCTTGACAAAACACCTATCCTCTGAGTCTTAGGGTTTTACACAGAATTTGCCTTGCAATGTCAGGCAGTCGTTTCTCTGTTTTGGGACCCAAACCTTTGGAGGTAAGCAACTTATGTAAACACTCATAAATAAGTCAAGCCTCCCTCCAAACCTACGGCTCTCCTTCCCCTCGGCATTCTCTGAGCCCTCCTATTATTATTTTTTTGGGGGGGAGAGAGAGACATTTCTTCACATCGGATTTCCTTCCACTATCCTCACACCTGGAATCCCCAGCCCCGCTCTCCTTCCCCTCAGCATTCTCTGAGCCCTCCTATCATTATTATTTTTTTTTGGGGGGGGGAGGAGAAATACATTTCTTCACATCGGATTTCCTTCCTTCCTTTCACTATCCTCACACCTGGAATCCCCAGCCCACACGCTCCTCAATAAATAAATGCACAATATAGTAGGTGTAAATAAAGGGACTCTCCCTCACTGTCCTTCTCCGACCTCTCCCCACAGCATGGAGTGTGTGTGTGTGGTGGTGGCGTTTTTGAGGGAATTTCCTCATATTTGGTTCCCCGCCTTCCCTCTGTCTCCCCACATCTTGACCCCAAGCGTAAATAAAGCTCCCTCACTGTCCTTCTCCGACCTCTCCCCACAGCATGGAGTGTGTGTGTGTGGTGGTGGCGTTTTTGAGGGAATTTCCTCATATTTGGTTCCCCGCCTTCCCTCTGTCCTGTCT